CTAGGTCCGAGTATCTTTGAGTCCCGACTGCCACAGCCCAGGGCTCAGAGGGGCCTGAGAATGAGCCAAAGAACCCAATAGAATCCAAATCTGGATGGAGAGGTTGCTAAGAGTATCCAAAATAGTTGGCTGCCTACCAAAAATGTGTTCTTGTTTCCACACTGAGAGGTGACATCCCAGCTGGAGGTTGCATTTCCCATGTAGCTTACAGGTATGACAATATGTCTAGTTTTTGTCAATGGAATGTGAGCAGAAGTGATTAAAAAGCAGGAGTGCTTTCCTTGTACTCTTTCTCCTTCCGGATGTAAAAGAAGAGTCCAAGGCTGTAGAGTTATGGTTCCTACATACAGTTTGACAACCACAGTGAATTCACAAGGAGTAGCTAGGATATATTAAATATTGACAGGAAATAGTAATGTCAGTTAGAAAACAACATAATGAACAAAAAGTGGTATTTGGATTAGAATAGTTCCCCCTTATCTGCAGGGGATACTTTCTAAAACCTACAGTAGATGCTTAAAACTGCAGATCATACCAAACTCTCTATGTACTGTGTTTTTTTCCTATATATGTAAGAGATTAACAATAGCTAATAATAAATGGAACAAGTATAACAATATACTGTAATAAAAGTTATGTGAATGTGGTCACTTGTTGCAGGGGATCCCTTACTGAAGTCTTTGTATAGGCTCAATGTTTTCTGGCACAAGTTGCCATCAATCAGAACATGTTTTATGTTCATGTCTTCCACCCACAAATTTAATGTCTTTCCCATTTTAACTAAGCACTTATCATGCACTGTGGCTGTAACTTTTGAGTTGGAGGTGCGACAGCCAAACCAGCACAAAGTTCTTTTTCCTTCTTCACAATTTCATGGACAGAAGATTCATTCCTACCACATATCTTAGCAACCTCAGCATATGATTTTTTATTTTTCTTTCCTTATTGAGAACTTTCACCTTTTCACTTAAAAGAAGCACTTTATGGTTTCTGTTTGGCAAAGTCTAATTGCCAGTATCCCTACTCGTGCACTTTGGGGCCATTATTAAGTACAATAAGGGTGACTTGAACACAAGCACTGCAATGCTGTGACAGTCAATCTGATAACCAAGGCGGCTACTGAGTGACTTAATGGGCAGGAATCCTACAGAGTGTGGAGACACTGGACAAAGCAATGATTCATGTCCCAGGCAGCACAGAGCAGGAAGGCATGGGATTCCATCACACATTCCATCACAGAGTGGCACACAATTTAAAACTTGAGAACTGTTTATTGCTGGAATTTTCCATGTAATATTATTGGGCCATGGTTGACCACCGATAACTGAAACTATGGAAAGTGAAATTGCAGACAAGGGGAGACTACTGTATTATAAAATTTTGAGGAAAACAGAGTACTGTCCAGGACACTGAGCAAATTACTATAATTACATTTTTTTGGCCCTAACTACTTAATAAAATGAACTGTGAGAGTTTTCTTTTGGCCTGCAGCCCTAAGGATGTATTATTGACACTCTAAGGGTGCTATGAACCAAGAAAGTTCGGGAACCTCTGCCTCAGGGAATGGGGAACCACAAAATGAAAGAAGGCTGGGTTCTAAAATTTCTACATGCAGGAAAGCCACCTGCCAATTAAGAACTCCCACATTGAATGGTATATGAGCCAGAAATAAACTTCTGTTGCATGAACCCACTGAACTTTTGGAGTTTATTTGCCATAGTAGCTAGTGAGGACTTCTAAGAACTTTAATATCATAACTTGTGACCCAACATTTGGATTATTGCAGTTTGAGTTCTAAAACTACTCACAAGGCATAATTTTGCCCTTTTGGGCTCCAAAACTGCCTGCAGAGGAAGCAGCCCCCCTGCGCTGATTGTACTGTTTGATAAATAGTTGCCCCTGGGCAGTTGATAAGCAAAACCCCTTGTACTAGAACTGCTCAACCAAATACCTTTGTTGTGTGAACCAAAACTGAAACTAGGACATTGATAAAGGCTTAATCACATATTACCCACTGTTCTTACCATTGAAAGGTCAGTTGCCCCACCAATCAGAAAATGAATGATGCAAATCTATAACCTTATTTCCCTAGCAACCCTTCTCCCTTTAAAAACCATGTTCTTCCCCCTCTCACCTCAGAGAGTGTGTTCGATTCATACCGAGGGCTACATTTTCTGATTTGCAAAGCATATATGAATAAAACTTTTTTAATTTCTTTTGGAATTTTTGTTAAGTTAGTTAGCATTACTCTAAGACACAGAGTGTGTGGAAAGCTAGACCTGAGGCCAAGAGCCGCAGATGTCAACAGTGGACTTCTGAGCACTACAATGAGGACCAGAAGAGAGAGTGGAGGTCATAGTGGAGGCCACCAAACCAAAAGGATGACACAGAATAGGTGCCCCATCTCCAATACCAGGTCAATGCATAAGCCCTCTGAAACGACAATCAACCTCAAGGAAAGAGTTGGAAGGATAAGGAGGAAGCAAAGGATGCTAAGAATTTAGCCCAAAGGAGACTGAGTAACCTTTAATTTGGTATTCTAAAGTTTTTACTATCAGTGAAGTGTTTGAATGCTAATTGCGCCTTTTGGAAAAAAACCAAATTTACGTTATATACATTTCATTCTGGAACTGTAAAATTTTGAATCTACTATTCATGTTACAGTAAGAAAAGATGGATAGAGGCCACTGTCTCTGTTTCTACAACTGGTCACCCGGCTATAGATATTCATGATTTCTCTTCTCCACCTCCTTTCTATATTCTCCTTGCTTTGGGCCAGCATTTCAGCTTGCTGGGGGTTCTTTTCCCCTTGGAGTGTGGAGACCGAGTCCCTGTGGTGCTGCCTAGGTGAGGTGACAGCACTCTTGTTAACCATTTAAGTAGAACACGGTGATACAAGGGACTCCTCTGAGCTCCTTCTACTGCGTCTTCATGTTGGAGCAGTGTTGATTCCATTCAATAGCCAGGCGCGATCACTCTAAGCAACACTATAATCCTATTCTTTCTCATTATTATTATTATTATTATTATTATTATTATTATTTTAGAGGAACCCAACAAAGACCGGGCAGTAATTTCAAATTCCAATTCAATAAAATTATTATTGCATCTCTGGGTGGATACCTCTTCTCTTGATTACTGAAACTTCTAAACCAGTGGAATCCAGAGTCATGAAAAATTGGTATCAGGAAAAGGGTAGTGGATGGTGAGCAGCCCCAAACCACACATGTCTACTACAGAAGTGATAAAAAATATTTCACAGTCAGCATATTCTTTGGTCCTCCACCCCTCAGCTTTCATCTAAGTTTTGTTGCTCATTTCTGTCCCAGATATATAAACCGTGCACAATTTAAAGAAGGTAAGGTTTATCACCATCTAATTCAGCGATTTTAACTGAGGGCAATTTTGCCCCCGAAGGGAATATTTGGCAACATCTGAAGTTGTTATTGATAGTCACAACTTGGGGGCAAGTGTCATATGGGTATCCAGAGGATCAAGGCCAGGAGATGCTGCATAGGACAACCCCAATAACAAGGAATTGTATGAGCCAAAAAGTCACAGTGCTGAGGCTGAGAAACTCTGACTCAATTAATTTGTTTATGTGTATGATTTGCTTCCTCCACTAGAATGCTAGCTCTGTAAGGGGAAGGACTTTGTCTATCATATTTTCTGCTCTATGCCTGGAACATGAAAGTCAACAAATATTTGATAACTAAATAATAGATGAATGCGTGTCTTGTAACTCACATCAGGCATTCTTACATATATGTGATAGCATCTGAACACTTGGCTCCTAGGATTGGAAGGGTTAATAAGGTGAAAGAGGGTAGGAGAGGGAGCATGATTAAAATATTCAGGGTAGAACAACTTCCTTGGATGTCCTGAAGTATTTCTCTTCCTAACATAGCACAACTAAAATGTTCATAATTTTCCTTCACTTTTATTTTCTAACTTGAAGAAGAATGGGCAGTTTTTACAATGTCCTTAATTCCTTCATTCATTAAATAATATTATCATCCAGGTACTATGATATGTGCTGTCACCAACCAAAAATTATGACTCTGGACTTGCGTTTAACAATTTGCAGAGATTTGATGTAATTGTTCTGTATCTTTTCTAACAATAACAAATATAGTTCCCGCTCTAGGAAAGGTGACTCTTGTCTTCCCTTCCCATCTCTCTTTCATACCTCAGTTAAGCTTGGAAGAAAGACCAAGAGACAAGGGTGGGTGCCTAGGCCCCCAGCTGTGTGGCAGCTTGTCCGGTCCTGGGTTCCCTTACTGTACCTTCAGCTTAGCTCTATTACAGCACTAAGGGCACGTTCCGAGTATTTGTGTATTTATATGGGGTTGTGCCTTCTCATCTGTGGTAGGGACGCTCTTCATAAAATTGCTGGTACCTGGCCCTCAAGATGGGCTCAGTAAATGCTTATTGAATGAGTAAAATGCCTTTTGCCTACTTCACAATGTCACCTAGGGCACCCTCTGCCAACTTCACAATGTCACCTAAGGTATGGTTTTGCCTACTTCACAATGTCACTTTCAACTGACCGTGTACAGACATGGGGACTTCACGGAGGCTCAGGGATATAGGTACTAGCTTCAGCCCTGTCTGAATTACTCTCCAGTGGAGGCTCCAGCCAATGAAGAGAAAAGCAGGGAATCAAAAGTCCTGAGCAGCAGCAAATGGATTTAGGTTCAACAGCCTGGGATGGAGGAGCACTAAACCCTGAGAGATAAGGAGCCTGTGAAGACCTCTCCAGAATGACAAAGGATCAGAGCTGCATGTAGACAGGGGCATGCCTTTTCCCATCGCCCAAGGTGCCTCCTTCCCACGCTACAGAGGAATGGCCGGCCCTGGAGACAGAGACTAGCGGTGTTGGTGTGAACTGATTTGTTCAAACCTTGAGCTGCAAAACTGCGGGAAGAGTGCAGAGAAAGTGGCGCGTAGCCTCGGCAGATCCCAGAAGTGCAACTAGGAAACTTCCCCAGCCCTGCCCACAGGGCGCTAGAGGGTCAGAAAGGACCCGCCTTTCCCAAACTGGGGCCCAGCAGGGTGAAGGTTGTTCCCAAGGCCACGTGAGGCTTCCTCGCCACCAAAAGCCCCAAAGAAGCAGGGCTAATGCAAGCGGAAAGTTAAGGGCGCCCCAAGCTCTGAGACAGAGCGCCCTGCTGCCGGCGCAAGAGCTGATCTTCAACAGCTGCCACCGCCGGCCGCCTAGTCCAGCCGAGCCGAGGTCGCGGCCGCAGAGCGATGTCCCGCCACAGCCTGGACGGGCGTCCCCTCAGGCTGCCCGCGCCGTCGGCCCCGCCGCTTTCGCCGCAGTTGCTGCTGCTGCTGCTGCTTTTGGCTGCTGCCGTGCCGCGGAGCCTGGCAGGTGAGCAGAGCGCGCCCGGGGACAGGCCCGTCGCCGCCCGCCCTCCCGCCCGCCCGCGCCCGCTGCGCCTGCCGCCGCTCTGGGCGCTCCAGCCGGTCCCCGGGTCCCACCAAGTTTACTTCTAGGGTGTCCGGGTTCTGGGTGGGCGCCAAGGAACGCGCCTCTGCGAGCGCACTGGCCGGGCTCGCTCCAGCCCTGCTGTGGCTCGGGGACAGCACCGCGAAGGGCATGGGTGTGCTCCTGAGAACTTAAAAAAGTGTTGGCCAGAATTCTTGGCAGGCAAATTGGTTCGTTCCTGCACGACTCGGCTTGCTGAGCCTCGGCTGCTCCTCAAAGCGCCAGCCAAAGGACGTCTAAATATATTTACTCACATCATAGGGAGGTATGATTCTGGGTTGCCGTTTTTTCCCCTTAACTGTCAATGTTTAAAATGATAAGAAGTGCAAACTGGTATTGTCAGCTTGATATGTACTAGGCAGTGTGCTAAAGGGATTTATATTTTTTCATATAATGCTCATTATAATTCTAAATAGGATTATTGTCCCCATTCTACAGATGAGAAAATTGTAAATGGAGAGAAATGCAATAATTTGCATAAAGATCCCAACCAATGAAGGCAGAGCTGAAATGCTTAAAGGGTGTTTACTTAACTACTCCCCTGTTAGTAAAATAGGTTTTATTCCCTATAGATATTGACAGTTAATCTATACGCTTTGAGAAAAACAAAAGCAAAACAAAAAAAACTTTGACTTTGTCACTTTCATTCCCAATGAATAAAATCAACATTAACTAAAGAAACTTCAAAGACCTCAAAAGTAGTATTAAGATAGGATAAATTTGTTTTATTTCATAGTCCTTTTCCTGTTCTGACCTTGTGTAAGAATAGGGTGGCATTTAGGAGGGCATACCCCTTCCCAAATAAGTGTACTGATCCTTGTTACATCACCTTCCATCAACAAGTATGTGTAGTTACCAGGTTTCAAGACCTTTGCTTCTGCAACTTGCGCACTTACTATTAAATTTTTCTGGTCTCTTAAGCTGCCTTGGCTTCTGGCATCAGAAGTGATGCCCCCCCAGGCTCCTGACTCTCGATTTACCCACACATTCTGTTCCTTCCCTGGACTATGGAGATGGCATCGGTGCCACCTTTTAGCCCAGGGAGACTGCTTATTCAGACTTACCTGGGACAGGCTAGAGTGCCCCTGAAATGGGAAGGGCTTTTGTAGCTGGAATGCCAGCTGAAACTTTTTTCCCTTTTCTGTTCTCCTTTTGGATCGTTGGGATTGTTTTAAATGTACCTGTAGATGGAGGGGGCAGCTTGAGGAGTGAGAAGGAGACATTGTTTTTCTGAAGATGGGACACTGTTTATTCAAGAAGGTATCACCTGGGAAGAAACTGCTTCTTAAACTGACTTCCCTCAATAAATAAACAAGCTGACTCCATGCCAGGTGGGTTGGGAGCCAAGGCAGAGAGGGAGGGCATTCCTGCTACAAGTGATCCTGACAGCACTGTGCCCAGCAATCCAGAAAGACTTCTTATGGTGTCCATGGATGGCTGGCGATGCCCACACTGACTGTTTCAAAATATGTGATCTCTATTTCCTTTGTTTCACCCATATTAACCTGTTTTCCAGTGCAACTTTTGGCACTCCGTCTTAGCCTTCTACTAGAGTGCCAACAATTTAGGGCAGAGAACGGGGTGTTGGCCACTGCTTGCTTTTCATGTTTTCTCTGAAGTGCCCAGCTCAGAGAATTTAGCGAGTACCCAGGAAACCCTAAATCCATCTGGAATGAATTTTATATCCACTAATGTGCACCTATGCATCCACAAACAACTTCTTTAATTTTTAAAGATTACTTTGTACTTTCATTATTCTAGAAATTGATGAACAGTTGCAAGTTCATCCTAGCCATATCTTTCAAACTATTAAAGACTTCAGATGTATAATAGCATTGCCTTTATCTTTCCAGACTGAAAAACCCTGTATTTGTTTTTAAGATGTCTTGCATAATTTGTCTAAGCTGTATGTACAGTAGTCAGATTGTCAGTAGGGAAAGGGATGGGTTGGTTCCAAAGAGACTCATAAGATGGCATAAGCCTTGGTAAAACTGGTTCCAAATCCGGACTTCAGACTTGCAGGGCTAGGCTTCAGAAATTCATTCTTTCCAGTGCTCCAGAGCTCATCAGATACAAGGAAGTCGATTCGCCCTGATAAACACACAAGTCTATTCACCAAAGTACCAATTGTTAATTTTTAGCAGACTGGATATTTGTGTAGCCTGCTCTAGGCCTGTTCTTGTAATCAAACTACATGGGATAGATCAAGGTTTGGCAAACTGTGGCTCGCGAGCCACATGGGGCTCTTTGGGTACGTACGTGTGGTTCTGAAGTACAATCGAAAATGAAAATAAAACTGTCATAGTTTCATTTATAAAATTTTTAAAGGATATTATTCACATAATGGAGATTTCATTTGTTTTATGGCTCTTGAACAATTTTTAAATTGTTGTGAGGGACAGGATTGGCTCTTCCGTCTCAAAAGTTTGCCGACCCCTGGGATAGATAATATGAGGGAGTCTCAGGCTGGAGGTCTGATTCATCTGCCTCCAGTGGGACTTAACGCTTCGGTCAGCCTGTGGGTACGCCTCCATGACAGATCACGCCTGGCACAGCTGGCACGCGACTCTGGGACACTGTCTTTTCCAGGATTCTATGGTTTGCCAGTGCCCACTTGAAACTAACAGATTGCCTCTCTAGATAGGCTAGTACCTTTATGTGGTTGTTAAGGCGTCTACTATCCTGGGACTCGTTCAGTCTCCTTAAGGCGACTTAGCAGACCTTTGGTTGAGGCCAATCTCAATGGATACTTTAACTCAAAGGGCATTCTTATTTCCAAATTCACTTGAGGTGCTCCGTATGTTCACTCTATGGCTGTTTTTCATTTTTGAAAGTACAGTGTTAGAGAGGTAGTATGGAATTCCAGAAACAAACCGTGGAGCCAGATTGCCTGTATTTGAATCTTAGCTCCAATATTTACTGTGTGACCTACAGTAAGTTATCTAATCTCTCTATGCCTCAATTTCCCAATCTGTAAAATGGGTATTATAATAGTATCTATCTCATAAAGTGGTTGTGAGGAACAATGCCTGGCTAACAGTAGGGACTGTACATAGCCATGCCCTGCATAACAACATTTCGGTCAATGGTGGACCACGTATGTTGGTGATCCCATATTATTGTAATGGAGCTAAAAAGTCCTATTACCTAGTGATAGAGTAGCCATCATAAACTTACAGCACAACACATTACACAGATAATTACTGTTGTGTTACAAATGCCTATAATATTCAGTACAGTAACATCCTGTACAGGTTTGTAGCCTAGAAGCTATAGAGAAACAGAATTTGTCACCCCAAAATATGTTTGTTTGACATAAGGATTATTTTAGGCTGGTTAATTTTAAGAAACAGCAGACATGGGAGAAACTCTGAAAACCAAAAAGAAGTTAACCTTTCCAAAAGACATTACATTTATAAGGGAAATCTCCATTTGTAAAAGTGTCTCTTTCACTGTACCAGGAAGAGGGGGGGTGACCTTATCTCCAGAAACTCTTATCAATGCAGAAGGCAACAACTTAAATCTGCATAATGACCTTACTCTTGTTTCTTGTACTTTTCCTGGTAACTTTTTACAACTGACTCCTTGACCTGCAACGTCTTTTGTCTTCAGCTGAAGATGGTATTTAAGGTGGTGGCTTCTGCCATTTTGGGGAGTTACTCAGTTTTCCTGGGTGTCTCCCATGAACACAGGAGGCATACATGTTATTAGATTTTTGTTTGTTTTTCTCCTGTTAATCTGTCTTTTATTTCTGGAATGTCTCAGTCAAAAACCCAGGTAGAGGGAAAATTATTTTTCCTATCCTACAAAGCAATAGGCTATCGCACATAGCCTAGGTGTGTAGTAGGCTATACTATCTAGGTTTGTGTAAGGGCACACTACGATGTTTGCATCATCTCACAGTCACTTAACGACAGATTTCTCATAATGTTTCCCCATCATTAAGTGGCTCATGACTGTAATTGAGTGGCTGTTATTACGGGCCGTTGGTGTTGCTTTGCTCTGAAAAGGCATCATGGAGCTGTTGATAAGGTAACCAGGATTGCAGATGACCATGTACGTGCTGTGAAGTAATAACATCTTATACAAGTAGGGCATGTTATACAAGCCTGGTTTTCCTCAATCATGGCTCAACATTTGGGGTACACACATTAAGCAGCTGTTTCAAAAAACACTGAGCAGTGTCTCTGGTCAATTTCCTGGGTAATAGCTGTGACTGAAACCGCCTTGACGACTTTTTCCTAAGTGCAGTTATATTAGCCATGGCTGCTTTAGAACGTCCCAACTCTTTTCTGTCTTTCCGAGCTTTGCTAAGTCTTCCTGTAGCTCACCCCATTGTCTTGGTGTTTCAGACCCAAAAGAAGTCAGTGTTCTCTGTAAACTAGAATATTTTCCGGTGCTCTCCTTATATCAGCTTGTTTAGTAAAATGTTTTACAAGATAAGTCCCAGAACAACTTCTGGGAGAAGTGTCCATTTATCTCTATTATTAAACTTCATTTCCTGGTTCTTCTGGAAATGTGAATCCGATAGCAAAGAGAAAAATTTTCTGCAGAAGAAAATTAAAAAGAATACTGAGATAGAACATTAAAAAAAAACTTTTTCGTGGTTATTTACTTGTCATAATATGTAAACTATGAATCACATGAATTTCATCTTGGAACTTTGTTCTAACGTGCAGAACAGAAATTCTGTTCTCATACTTCTTTAGGCATTATTTTTACTTTTGTCACCTGTGACCTTTTGTTTTGTTGGATTCCAAATTATAAAGCATTACCTATTGAGATAGCAAATGAGGTAGTGGCACCAATAATGGAATGAATTTCAAAGGCTTTATTTTGTTCAATATTTTAATGACTTTAATGCATTTAATGCTTTTAAGCTT